ACCATAAATCGTCGTAAAGTTAAATTTAACTTCTCTTCAAATGTGTATAATGCCGGCATTCAGTACAGGTGGTTCAAATATATATTATGTGTGAGAGATGACTGAGTTTAAATACACTGAAAGTCTTCTACTCGACTCATAATCAGAGTCGACGAGATAAATATTGTCATAGGAACGACATCATCTCATTGCACCGGATGTAACGAAGATATAAAGGAAGACTCAAGTCAGAGGTTCTAATACTACAGTCTATCCTATTTGTAAACAAACCGTGCTAATAATCCTACTGTCACGAATACGATCCTTCGTTAAATATTCACTCATCAAAACTTTTAACTCCTGTTGAGTTCATTCGTTAATCGTAGCTACCGGTTCATAAATTCGAAGAAGAATGACGCGCGATAAAAAACGTTTAGCAAGATTTCCTAATCAACTAATATAAAAAAAAGATTAGATATTCTTAAAAGTTTCTTGTTTTCTCTTACATTAGTAAGTCTTATGTGCACAATATTTTTTATTTTAAATTAATAAGCTTTTGAAACGATCTAATACTTTGCTACATGCATCGTGTTATTACGAAATGACATAATTTTAAAGCTCGAAAACCATTATAAAATTCACGTATAGTGGTCTGACGAAAAGAATGCATTTTAAAAAGAAGTGTAAAATGTGAGATAAGTAAATCGAGCGATCCTTTCCTCTTGCCATTGTATCTACCTGTAACTGTTCTTTTCAACAGCATACAGTACGTGACTCTCGTATACATCAACATGTTCATTAAACGCGTGGGCGAGAATTACATATAAGATTTAACCAGAAACGATTAAGAGAACCTTACATAAGGTGAAATATTTCAATCGTTTATCAATCCACGTTATATTTTCCTACACATAATAATAATACAAAATAAAATCATAGATAACGGAAGAGAATTAAATATCCACGCATTTCGATTGAGAAATTATAATCAAATTAAGAATGATTCACATATTATAATGGATGCTAAATTGATCAAAATCAACAAGAATAGATAAATATATTGTCTTAATTATATTACTAATGAGAAATGTAATAAACCAAGTCTTAAGTTCGAAAATTGATTAATTTATATGTCAAAATTTTACAAGATTGTGTAAATAAGAGATAAGCGTGGAACATTAGATAGAAATTAATAACAAATAAAATTTTGGGAAAACCTACTAGATTAAGAGAAGACACGACAGAACCCGAACATGTCACGTACGCTAAGGCAAACATAGATGATTCAATTTGATTTACGACACCCCCTAACATCCGAACAGTTCCTTTTCTAACAAATATATTTTGTTAACATCAGTTTCGTATTCCTTACTTAATTACTACATCCACGAGCCTACAGAACTATTAACGAAATATCGTTTGAATGAAAAACCAACTAATGTTATATATTCAGTCGTGATAATAGATCATCTCGTCGATTTTTTTTCCAGATAAAAGAGTAATATAAAATATTTAATGAAATAAGGAAAAAAAGGAAAAATAAGATAGAAGCTGATAAAAGAAGAGGAAAGCGATAGAGAAAGTGCAACTGATCTGAAGGAGCTCGAAATCGAAAGTAATTTCCTCTTTTGCGTCTCACTCTATCTCTTAGTTCTTTCACCGCAGCTCCCCCCTTTCTCCTTTCTATAAGAGACTCCGACGATGATTCTTTCTCGCTGCTCGAGGATTCAGGTCAAGTTCGCTGTCTGCTCGACGACGACTCTATCTCCTTCTCTCGCTCACACTTCACTTTCTATCGTATCTTTCCTCTCTCTCTCTCTCTCTCTCTCTCTTTCTTTCTTTCTTTCTTTCTATCTCATTCACGTAGCACTTATGCAAGAGATATTACATCATTCGAGCAATTTCACCATCTTGTCGTGACTGTGACCGTCAAAGAAGGAAACTCTCTTTCTCGAATAACGATATTATGTCAGTGTCAGTGGCAACGATCTCTCCAACCGTGGAGAAACGTGGGTAGATATGGAAGCTCGAGAGTTACGAATCGAGATGCGTTTAGTTCGCTGAACCGAATTCCCCTTCTGTTCTGATGAGTTATAACATAGCTACCTAGAAACACAACCTTACTACACGTTTCTTTTTTTATTACTTTCTTTACGGTTTTTACATCTTCTTATTACACCCGTCCGTTAAAGCGAACAACGTGCTTACGTTTCTGATGATTATCAACGTTATTAACCTGTACTTATAAATATTTCATTATATCTTTAGCTCGTCTAAGAAAATACAAAAGTTCTAAGGATAGAGAATATTTTTTTTTACAATGGAAAAATAATCTTCTTATCATTAGACATAGTCGATGTTAGCTTTAAGAATTTTTAATTAAACGATAAGTATATTTTACAAAAAGGAAAGAAAAGATAATAAGTTATGGAATTGGCAATATTTATCGATTGATATTTTGAATAATAAAAGCTGAAACTTATGGTATGTTAAACGTTTGACCATAAATTTCAAGTCAAGATTCTTTTTTTAAATAAAAAGGATTACATTTTTGAGTTTTTAGATGATACGACGTCAAGTAGTCAAGTTTATTCTCGAATACGTGAATGTTTTCATTAGAATGCCAATTAAATCGCAAAGTGTTACCTTCGTTCTCTCGATCATGTTTTTTTTCCCATATATATATGAAACAAAGAAAAAGGGAGAAACAGTCCGCGGATTCTGCAAGTTAAGCAAAGGGCCACATGAACAGTTAATCAAATAAAAAGCCTGGTCAGTTATTGGTACAATCTCGATATGATTTAAGTTCTTATGAATTAAACGTTGTATTTTCGGTTATGTTAAGCAACGAAGGAAAAAAATATGTCGAAATATTAAATCTTAGTCATTAATCAAACGTTCTTAATGACTTAATAAAATCAAATTAATGAATTTTGTCATTAGAAGTAAAATGTCATTTAGAAGTAACGTATACATTTTTTTGTTTATATCCGTCTGTTTCTAAGAACGGAGAATAATTAGATTTACGAAAAATTTACGACATAACGAAAATAAAAAAAGAATTAAAGAGAAAGGGAAAGAGTGAGGCAACAGGAAAATTAATTAAGCAAAATCTGCTGTTTCGAATTGATCTTCTGAGAACGTTCAAAACACGCTCATAATTTATAGGATGTCCCTTCTCTCGATCGTTCCTAGATAGATCGGTCAGATAGTGAGTCAGCAAAGCTGAATTTCCAATAGCGTTGGCCAATCCTTACGGTTTACACTTGGAAACAAATTCCCGGATAAAGTATAGCACAATTTAAAAGCGTGCTTCTTGGAATTCACGAGATTTCAAGGAAATTTGTTGTAATCGATATGAATAAAATTATTAAACGAGATATATGTTATAAATGTTTATGAATGAAATGTAATTATGCATGCAAATAGAATAAAGTTGTAGGTGTAAAACGTTAGAGAAAAACAGTTTGAGGAAAAATGACTACATTATATCATGGAATATGAAATTTTTCCTTATTAATGAACAATTGAAAACGAGAAAAAAATAATATGTATACATTGATGATATCTTCCGCATCCTTAAAAACGGGAAAGATCAGCCCTTGAATATCATCAACGTAATACATAGTAGAGAGAAAAAGGGACGAGCTTTGATCTCGTTCGCTTGAACCACTCAACGGAGGGTCCCACTTTATCGTGCGTAGAACATGGGCGGCTAATTATGAAAAGCAACGCGGAACACTCGTGGAAAAACGCTCCTCCTTCGAGTAAGTACACGCGAGCCACTTGAAAGCACGCGTGTAAACGTGCAAAGACACGTTCGTGAAAAAGAAGCGGAACGTGCGATTAACGCGCCGCTGCCATCCGCGAACGCTTGAAATTCCATGGGGGAGGGGGCTGGAATAATATTGCCAGTAAGAATGATGGTAACACACACATATCTTTGAAAATCAACGCTATGTGGGGTGGGGAGGGGGACACGTTTCGCACGTATCGGGCCGCAAAGTGCGAATGAGAATTCGCCGGGCGCAGACTCCCCGCGTCTCATAAAATTGCGCATGCGCAAAAACGGAAGTAAAGCCTTTAGCGTTGCTCCTTGTCGTCCTGACAATTCTAAAAAGAATCTTTCTATTTTCACATTTTCTACTTATAAGTCATCTTACAACTGTCAAATAAAAAAGCTCTGAAAAGGGTTAGTACGATCTAAAAAAAAAAGCAATTCAACAAACCGGCCGATATCGAAGTGACATATCGAGCCTCGCGCGAAATAGAAGCAACAACATATGAAAGAATGAAAGGATACGTAATATGAAAATCAAAGAAAAGATCAGCTTTTAAAGGTAGTTACAAACGCGCGCAAAGACGCGAATGGAATGGCGAGGGAATCGCTCGAGTATCGGGATGTCTTCTCCTTTTCTCATGCAACTGCCACCGTTGTATGTGCGTGCGGAGCACGTAGAAAGAGAGCGAGAGGCCGTTATACCTTGCTTGGTACTGGAGTAGGAGAGAAGCGAATAAACGCTGGAAAAGGAGGAGAAGGAGGAAGAGTAGGAGGATGAGGAGGAGGATGAGGAGAAGGATGAGGAGAAGGAGGTGGTGGAGGAGGAGGTGGAGGTGGTGCAGGAGGAGGAAGAGGTGGCAGATGGGGCAGAAAGGGGCGAGAAGGGATGGCGGAGGATGCTCTTCTGTATCCGGCGAGTACGGCGAGCATCGTTCCTGCTTGCTCCCCCGCCAATCCGGGTATGCGACGTGGGGCGGCTTTGAAGGTAGGGGCCGCACGATTCTCGACGGCGGCGACGACTGCGGCGGTGGCGGCACGGCTGCCAAGGTATTTAAGGTACCGTGAACCGGCGGCGCACGAGTAGTTCACTTCTGTTCGGTGCGGTGTCGCGGTGATTTTGAGGAGACAGAATAGAGAGAAAGAGAAAGAGAGAGAAAGAGAGCGAGAGAGAGAGCGAGAGAGAGAGAGAGAGAGAGCGAGAGAGAGTATGTATGTTTGAGAGAGGGAGAGTGTGAAAGAGAGAAAGAGAGAAAAAAAAACGAGAGAGAAATATAAAAAGAGTAGCAGTGAGTAGGCCTTCTGTCTCGTACCAATTCGCCGAAGGGTGCGAGAGAGTTTCGGTCGGCCCCTCAAAAACGAGAATCACCCACCGTCGTTCGTACGTTCGTTCATTCGTTCGTTCGTTCGTTCGTTCGTTCATTCGTGCTACTTTATATATTATACTTAGTCCTATCTCTTTTTATCCGAAGATAAGTAAAAAAGAAGTACGAAATAGGGTGAACTAATTGGCAATACGCGCTTAAGTATTCGAGTTTTCCCGCGAAATTTCAATATATCGTGCCTTGTGTGAGAGAAGAAGACGTAAGAAGCATCCTCGAGTGATTGCCGCATCTCGTAAAGCTCTTCGAAGAACCCCGACGACCGTCCTCGATAGGTAAGTCCGTATTAACGTGGGAAATAATTAGTGAAAGTTCCGATAAACGGAATACATGCAAAAGTGAGCACGCGTCGATCACCAAAGATGGGTCGAGTCTTATCGTATTGGTGACAGCGAGTGATCAAGATCAGTGATCGTTTTTATTCGTCGTCGTCTTCGTCGTCGTCTTCGTCGTCGTTGTCGTCGCTTACTTCTTTCTCATCCTCTTCGTGGACATTCCTACGGATTAAATTTCCCATGTGCGTTGAGACACCTCCGGCTCGCTACAATGATCTCAGCGGAGATGTGCGAGTTCCTTTCGTGAGAGCGACAAACGAGGCACGCCAAATTTCGATGCACTTAGGCCGTGTGAATCCCGCCTTGAAAGAAGATGCTCTCGATCAAGTTAGAAAGTGAATCGCTGCATATCGCGAGAACCCACAAACCTCCAGCATTGTATGCACGCGACATTATTTATTTGGATAATCTTTCAGAAAACTCGCAATCGAAATTCACCGCAATATATTCGAATTTCGAAAATGCACGAGTCGCGAATTATCTTTTAGATTGAAAACACGAAATTTGACTGATTCAATTCTAAGAAATTTATATCTAAATGATTCAAACTAGCATATAATAGTAAATAATATTACAATACTCTATATCTTGTAGACCCCCCGAAGAAAAGTCGGATGTACATTAACACCTTTTACAATACAGATAGGATATTTGAATATCGAAACAAATATCATCGTCTCGTAAATACTAAGGAGTCTTTTTCATCTCAAAACGGATAAACATGAAAAACCATGAAAATTTAACAATTGTCATTTTTCAACATTACCAATATCGTCCACAATTAATTCATTTTTAATTAAGAAATTTATTTTTGATGAACAGATTAGATCGAACGAGAAAAAAAAAATTTCGGGCAAATTAATCGATTTGAATCTCGAAAAATCGATCGATTCGTGCGCGGCAGCATTCGACAAAAATATCGAATAGGGTTCTTACTCTGGTATAACGAGTTAAACAAATTCCAAAGATCAGCATAATAAGATCCTATTAGCTGCCAAGCGACGTAGTAACAAAAACGAAAAATGTAAACTAGGAGAATCTATGGGGTCCTACAGACCCCTTTGTGTCCGTCGGCCAGGACTTGCCTTAGCTTCTCTTCCGACGATAATGGAGAGAAACGCGCGTGAATAAAAGGAATTCCTGTGGTGAATCGAATTCTCTTAATGTCGTGAGTAGACGATAACGATGACGACGAGTAGAACGAAACGAACGAAGATGCATCGTGAAATTTTGCACAATATATCGTCTTATATTTATTTATGTTACCTGACTCAACAACAATAAGACAAAATAGTAGCATAAAAAGCGTTAAATATGTATTCTACCCATGTTGCGAGAAAAAATGTTTATAGCCCTATTTTCAAAAAAAAAGATACCCTTCAAATAACTTCAATATTGAATAGATTACTGATTTAAACAGCTGATTCGATTTAAAAGACAATAGAAGTCGGTAAGCGGAACAAAAGTAATAGGTCCCAATTCCTCAAATAATTTATTGCTGTACAGATTTAATGATCGAGGGTATCTCATTATTTTACACAAAAACTTTTCTTTTTATATCATCTATAGAAATCTACCTGATAAATGGTTTATTCCATCGAAGAATAGATAGCCAGTTTAAAAGATGCCAGTTTCTCACATTCGAAAAACAACATCATAATTAACGCTATTTTAAACGGGAATCAATCTTGTATCACTTTTCTATTTTTAAACAAAATATTGTCTACGTGCTTCCAATTAAAATAGTAAAGTATTATTTTTATCTCGTATAAAACACAAATAGATCATTAATAGTGATCATTATATAATAGAGTCTATGAAAGTAAAGACGACGAGAAATTGAAAGAGTTCGTGCAACTCACTGACGATAGATCCACGTTAAGAATTTAAAGTTGATAGCACATCCAAAGGCAGAATGTTTCTTACGTGACCAATGACTAATAACTAATTATCAGAAGCTAATTACCGAGACCGCCTTTTGCCCGTATCGTGGATGGGCAGCGCACGATTCCGGTTTTGCCGCTCGTTAGGTACAGCGACGAAAATAAAATGAAGTAATGGGGTGTGAGTAAGAAGCGATTGTGCTCACGCGATCCGAGAGGGGCAATAACCGTAGCGAATGGAAGCCTAACGTGGTCCTTCCGAGCTGTGAGAGGGACAGATAGATCTTGATCGTATTCGCGTTAAAAAAAGGAAAAATTAAATCTGTCTTGTCTAGGTTGAAAGTAAAAATCCTTAATAAAATCTCAAAGAACTGTTTTCGATCAATTTTCGACGCGTACTTTTTCACTCTTCGTTTTTTTTTTCTTTTTTCATATATATTTTATCGCTTCCGTAACAATAACTTTTTACACAGTGCATCGTCCAATGTATTAATAAAGCGAATGCGCTGTTAAACTGTAAAACCATACGTAAAGAAAACATGGATATTTTACGAAGTTATAGACGTGGTTGATCTTCGCTTGAACAAGCGTTTCAATCATGTAGAGTAGACTACATATAGATGGGAATGAGTGAACAGGCGAGTGTGCTCGTACAGGTATACCGAACGGTAAAAGCCATAAAGAGTGAGACAGAAATGATGTCGACACTTGTTCGTTCATCGTCTTCAAAAGAGACGCTCGTGCGCGGGAAGAAAGAACGATGCTGTGTTTGAGGTTGACGGACGGTCGGCCGATCACGTAATTCTCAAAGCAATCGAACCGTTCGACGTCTGTCGAAGTGTTCGATAGATCGAACGACGTCGTTGCCCATCGTAGAACCTCGGACGTTTTTTGAAAAAAGAAAACACGGGAGTTCAGTGTCGTCGGTTATAGAGAAACACGGGATTCATTCGATTTCATTCAACGATCTATAAAATCCTACAGTCACCAATATTACTTTGTCTTTTTTTTATTTCTTTAATCTTTATCTCTCGAAAATATTGAAATTGTATTTGCTGAAAGATCCTCTTTCTCACCGTCATCTCTCAAAATATCTCGATTAGGAAATTTCTTACATCGCTCTAACACAATCACGAACGTGCTCCGCGGCGATTATTGCAGAATTTGGATATGCTCCGAAATTACGAGGCGTGAATACGAATGAGTCGGTCGCGTCTCCTTCGCGACGAAATTTTTTCAACGAAACGGACATTGACCTGACACGAAGATATATACGCGTTAAAAAGAGATGGAAAGAGGGACCTAGCGACTGGTAAAAACATTCTTTAGACTTTATACTTTTTTCAACGTAAAAGACTGAGTTTCATGGTTAACGTGAATCTATTATAATAAGAAGAAATTAACAAATTGTCGTCACGTCGTTAGATAGTGTAATATTTGAGATGTGGTTAATAGTTGAATTTTTATTTAAAGTGAATTTTAAATAGGAAAAAAAGAAAAAAAACGTCCTCAAAAATTTCTACTATACGTGAAAGAATTTTCTAGCCACGACGTCATTCTATTTTTTGAGTTATAGCTGAGCTCTTTTTCGTATAAGAATTACACACAATGATGTGATCAATGGATACCCGATCTGCATGACAAATGTGACCCGTTTAAATGACCTTCTTTCAGCTTTTACCTCATGGATCTTTTATAACAGAACAAAAATCAAAAAGTAATCGAAACATTTCACGCTTCTCGCTGATTATCAAATGTTCACGTTATAGTGAATTGCTTGCCCGAAGCAATCACATAATTTCCATGCCTCATTTTCTACTTAATCAAACGAACATTTAAGTTCACACGATATAACTAAAAATAAAATAAAATTATTTTTATCGGGATTACACTTAAAATACTATTAATATTTTTTTAACGTAGATAAACTTGTTCTTACCCTCAAACTATCGATAATGTATCGAAGATAATTTATTTTTTATTTCACACAGAGTTTCATCATAATCGACGGCTAAATTACGATGTTAATTATATTTTTTCCTACGCGCTATTAATATCTCATTGATGATTGTTTTGAAATTTCTTTCAATTACTTAATTACCTTAGGAAGAAATCAAATGTATCGAAAGTAAATCCATTAACATTTAATCATATAAGAAAAGAACTCAGTGTCGATCACGGTACTCTTAATCTTCTGGAAAGTGCGTTACCATTCGTATTCCTTGCGTGTTTGCCCGTACCTCGATGTCGAATGCGGTTTATAAACTGTTCGCCCGGTAACCGGTCATGTACTCGATAAAAATCAGCTACTCGCTACAAAGAGATAGGAGGGAATTTCAATGCGCGCATGATTCCGTACGTTTGTCTGCCACGCGGCCGGCTTGAGATCCCTCGCACGTAACTGCACGAACTCACGTAGAACACTTTTAAGTACGTTAATAAACTCCTATCATCGGTCCACCTATTTGATCGTTCTCAATGATCCATTTTACGAGTACAAGGTTATCGATTTTGGTAATCCTCGAAGATGTATTTTATGTAGCGAAGGTACCTCGACTTACACGTATGTATATCAGACACGATAAATAAGCCTGACCTTACTTACTGAACTCACCGAATTCGGTCAACCGGTCAAATCAAGTAGTCTAAACCGTTTTAAAGACAATCTTGTTCTCGTCTAAGCATAACAAAATGTAGCCCAGTGGGTCTAACAAACCTGCACTATTGGCCTACTTCTGGTAATAACGAAATAAGCGTTTCAAGTGGTCTCGCCAGAAGAAAGAGAGAGGAAGAATCTTTATTGACGACCGGTCATGATACAGGTTACCGTACTTCGTTTTTCTTTTCTCTCAAACTCGTACTAATTTTTTTTTTCAATTTCTCGTTCTTCCTTAGAGTCTTCCACAGAAATACAAAAAAATATACAATAAACACACATAGATAAATATAGTCCGAAAGGATTTTGCATAATCAAGCAAAGAATCAATTTTAATTACCGGTCGTTTCGCAAATATAATCGATAAAATCACAAGTGTAGAATCGTTGAGAATAACGCAA